CATCTGTGGAGATAGCAATTGGGGATGGCTGGGGATTTGGCGGGAGGTGGAATTGGGTCCTGGATTTTCCTTTTCTAGAAATAATGCCAAGAAAAAGGTTTTGCAGGTGTTGAAATTACTTCTTGACACTTAACCCCTCCACCAATGTCTGCTTTATACTTAATTTCTAATCCAACTATATATTTGCAGACCCAAAACCTAAATGAAACCTTTTGAAATTAATTGACCTGATCTAATTTGGGGTTTATAAATTCACCAGACTTCTTGAGATTAAAGTGTTCTGTCTTCACTTAAGTATGGAAATGTTTGCAAGCCTCAAAAATTATCCCACAATGGGGAAAATGTCTCCTGGTCTGCTCTCCTTGCAGTCTGAGGAAATGAGGGACAGAGTCACAAGACTTAAAGCAATTGACTTACCGCACTTTACTAAGTTACAGTTCAACTACAGTAGTTGACCATGTGCCTGTTTTTAGCACAAGAGTCACTTCTGATTCCCGCAGCTAATACCATCTCCTCTGTGCAGTCACTCCAAAAAATGTTTCTTCTGCAGTGCTCGCAGAAAGTGAGTTCACGTCCCTGCGCATGAGTTGCCAATGTAATATATTCCAGCAACTTCCCTCCCCTCTCCCAGCAAAATAAGCTATACCATGCTCATGTTCCCATGCGTGAGCTCTCCTTGGTCTGCTGTTCAGAGCGCAGGAGAGATTATTTATGTTCATTAGAGCTCTGGATGAATTGCCAATACAGAAGAAGAAATGACTAATCTCTGTGCCGCTTTTCTTCTGCACTGATTGCTAGGTCATTGTGGGAGGGTCCTTGTGCTGCACTATGTTGTGAGTTACTGCTGTCACCCAAAATTTGGTTATGAGGGGTTATAATCTACAGCATTAGGGAAGCAGGATGTGCTGCAGCCCACAGGCTGTCTCTGCAGCTCTGTTCCCCAAAGCTGTTTGCCAGCTTTCCATCTGGGATGTGAAGTTTTCAAGATGGGATTCAAACACTTCCCACTTCCAGACTTCAGTGGCTCTTGCACTCCAGAAGTCCTTCCCAGCAGTTTGGATTTTCACTGTGTCCCGTGTTTAAACCTAACATTTGCAGAGCAACTCCCTTTGGCTTTCTGTGGTTTCTGAAGGCCCAGGTATTGCTATAGGGAGGCCCACAAACAACTCCCACCACCACTTGCTGTCAGATACTTGTTCCCAAGCAGCGTGTTTGCACTTTGCTGCTGATTGTGCTGTACATGTTTAAGTCTCTTAGTTTTTACTTGCAAGCTAATGCTTGATGTCCTGGTCATTTCAGTTCTTTGGTTGTGTTTTAGTGTATCTTAGCTTGGGGTTATTTTTTTTTACTGGTATATTAGGGTGCATTATTCTCCCCAGGTGAGATTCTTTTTCTTTGCTATGGATAAGCAGTTCTGCCCTCAAGAGATGTGGACGCAGACTCAGCCTTTAACATTGGGCCAACCTTCTGTTTAGAAATGCATGGTTCCTTCCCAATCCTTTTCAAACGCCCAAAATTAGTTGGATTTGGAGACACAAGTGTCTCTAAAAAAAGAAGGGCACTTCTTGCCTCTCAGCCAAAAATATGGGAAAAGGATGGTAAACTTTCCCCTCAGCCCATGCTGGATTTGTGGTCCATATTCTTATGACACGAATTTGGCCACAGCCTCTAGGTCTGATGTTTTCTAGCTGATTCTTATCTTTCTTCTCTGTGTCTTGCTTTGGCCCTCTGTGTAGCTCATCAGATGCACTCAGCTCTACCTGTTGATTACAGAGAGGGCTGGCAATGGCACCTCGGGAGAAAAGAAGACATAGAGCTGTTAGGGTTTCTTTTCTTTATCTTGTTTGGCTTGCTGAGGGTCTGAAAGCTCCAGGAGGTTCTGGAGAGTTAGCTAAACTGTGAAAGAGAGCAAAATCAAGAAGCCAAACTTGTAATTCTACAGGGATGCTATTCCCATAATGTGCAGAAATACCTTTGTGCAGGTTGTTAGCTGCTGGGGCAGCACTTAGGCATGTGGGATAACCTGATTAGAGAATCAAAGAAAACCCTGTTAGCTCCACAGGCCAAATCCTGCCTTACAGCAACCTGATGTCAAATGGGTGTGAATCAAGGAAGTTTTCCCTTTGGCATCTTCTGGTAACACCTTGAAGAAAAGGGTCTGAGCCAGGGTTCTAGCAAGTAAAGAGGCTTAAGCAAATATGCTCCCAGACAGGGAGTGAGCTGGAGTCTGCAACTAATGACTTTGTTTTTCCTCACTGGTACAGACTTGGAAGGATGAAAAGAATAAATTCCTCAGGTCTGATTTTCAGGTTGTATAGAAGGCTTAATCAGGAGTTGGTTAATTTTAAAACACTTGTCTTAGCTGCAAGAATGTCAAACAGTGTGACTGAGCTGAGATTTGGGAGCAGAAGACGTGTTTTCTGAAGGCATAATCCAGAAGTGTGATTACCTGCTGTACTGGTCACTGCAAAACTCCCACCAAAGTCAGCATTAACGTGAGATGTCAGACAAGATGATTGTAATGATCCCTTGCGGTCTTAAACTCTGTGTGTCTGAAACGTGTGAGTAGGAGGTGTATCAGATCCGTAGTGAGAGCATTTCCAGGCCACGCTGTTTGGCGTTAAATCCCTTTGCAGGGTGGATTGCAGCTGCAGGTTTCTGCTCTGTTCACAGTACTAGACAGGCTGTGCTCAGTGTTGCTGTCTTAGAGAGGTTACATAGGCTGTGGTAGCAGACCAGGGGAACTGCTTAGCAGATCAGCCCCCAATGTGCAGGTAAGCCGTGAAACTCCCAGCCATGTTGTGGGTACTCAATGTTTATCAGAATTCAAAAAGCAATCAGGAAAGTTCATGGGAGAAACATCCACTTGAGGCTAAGTACAGAGAAGTCGAGCTCTGGCTCAGGAATTCCCTAAGCCAGAAATTGCTGGAGGCTGGGAGCACATCCTAAGGAATTGCTGTGTTTTGCTTGCCCCATTCTCATACCTTGGCCCCCATTGTTGGCAACTGTTGGAAATGAAGCAAGCAGTGACTTGGTGAAGCAAACACTCCATACCTGTGCATATACAGAAGTTGTCATAGAAAATGCCTTATGAGTGGCACAATCTTCCGTCGGTATCTGCAGGTATGCTGCATTCCTTCCTTGGCAATACAGAGAACAGCATGGATACAGACTGTGATGATGTGATCTGCTTATGCAAAGCAAAATGGCAAATTTGCCAGGTTATTTCTCCAAAGAGAAAATTATTGACCTTGCTTTTTCTGGCATGCCAGCAACTGTTATAATGATGATGATGGTGACAGTAACCAGACAGAAAGGCCAGCAATAATTCTTTCCTGTCCATTATTACAAGGCATAAAGCAAAATCCAGTCTGAAACCAATGCTAGTTTGGCTGTGCTCTCTTTACAAATGTGTGAGGCAGTTCTCATGGGTTGAAATTCAGGACTTTTCATATCAATCTTTCCAAAAACAATCCTTTTGATCTTCTGATGTGAACCTGTGTATTTCTGTTTGTATCTTACCAGTGATTTGCAGCCTAGAGATAATGTCCAATAGCAAATATGTGACTGTAGAAGTAACCTCTCTGAGCTCCTGGGTGATTCATCTCCTGACAGTACATTTTGGCTGCACATGTAAGGGCTGGATCTTGCCACTGAGAATATTGGCTCAAAGAAGCAGTAACAATGCGGTCAGTCAAAGCACTACTTTCCCTGGGAATTTTGTTGCATGAGGAAGCAGAAGAACTTTAGCCTTCCTGTGTTTGTCAACATGATCTGTCTTCCAGCAGCTTTTTATATTTCTGTCCCATTAGATTTTTTCCTTTCCTTTTTTCCCCCTCTTTATTTCTATCTATCTTAATCATAATCAATATTGTAATCACAGACTTTCTACCTCATCCAAGATTCAAACACTGGTTGGTAACATCATTTGATAACTCCAGATGCATCAAGCAAGAGTAGTAGGTGAAGTTTGCTTTCCTAAAGTCCAGTGAAATGACCCAAATCATTGCCACAGATTTATTGTTTGCATCTGTGTGGGTTGCATAGATGCAACACGTGTCCATTCATGGCATGTGTCTTTAAGGTGCTTGGTTTGAAAGGGTAAGTTGCACAGTTGTTGTCAGAAGGGCTGGTGTGGCTCACAGACAACCAACTGAAACAAAATTGTCTTGGTGTTTCTATAACTAACTGCAAGGGTGAGTGAGGGTTGAAATGAGATGAATCATTCAGTGGACCCCACTTGAAAGGTGGGGGTTTTTTGGCTCCAGTGCTTCAGGAGCAGGCCAGTATGTAAAACCTGTGTGGCAAGGATCATGGCCTTAGAGCTGGCATTTCACAGTTATTATCTCAAACATCATGGGCCAGAGATAAATGAACAGTTTTAAGTTATCCTGAACTCCCGTCTTTGTGATGCTTTCATTGTAGACGCTGCTTTGTTCTCTCCCCAGACTCAACAGTAGTCTCTGTGGTGGGAGAGGAAGATCAAGATTTTCTTACAAGGCAGATGAAGATCCTTTATGGGAGCTGTATTGGCAGAGCAGTTAGGGGGTCTCTGTGTAGCCCCAGGAGTTTGAGCTTCAGCTTTGCACTGCACATTGTGGAGGTTGTCTCTAATCAACTCAGCTGCAAAAGGTCATTCAGACTGGGCAATCCAGAGGCAAAAACCCAGGAGTGCAGGCTGCTGCATAACTCCTTCATGTGCTCTTGGCTACAGAAGCTGCAGTGTCTCACATACACCCACCTGATGGGTCATCTCTGATCATTTATCAGAGCTGCTGAGAGAAGCCTCTGGTTTGTGTTCTCACACTATACAAAAGACTTGACCCAGGCCCTGTGCTGTTATCATACTCTTTGTTGGCTGTACTGTGCTTATCTAGAAGAAATGAAAAGAAAGTACCTAATGCTTCCAAGTAGACCAGCAGCAGCCTCCAACCCAACTGACCTTTGTAAATGTCCTGCTGAGATGGTGCTCACATCTGTTGTGTATGTTTTGTTTGCAGAACACGCTGGAGCAATGCAGCGTTTGCGCAAAGCCCATCATGGAAAGGATCCTCCGAGCCACCGGGAAGGCCTACCATCCCCACTGCTTCACCTGCGTGATGTGCCATCGCAGCCTGGATGGGATCCCCTTCACCGTGGATGCCGGTGGGAACATCCACTGCATCGAGGATTTCCATAAGTATGGCCCAAGCTGTATTCAGTGGCTTTGCTTATTGTCTTTCTCTTTTGTCCCTAAAAATCCTTCTTTTTTATCCTGAGTGTCCAAAAAGATCTGAACCTTCTGCCACTTCCTCCCAGGGCTCTTAAATAGTAGGCAGAGCTTTGCTCCAAGCAGGCACACCAAGGTATACAAGATGAATTGGTTAGGGGCCAGTGCTGCTTGATCTCGGTTTTGCTTAGATCTGAATTTATGGATAACCTCTGTGCTCCTCCATTTTAAATGCTCTGCATTCCTCCCGCCTTCCCCTGCACTCAGCATGTGCACGTTTCTCCTCACTGTCTGTACCTGTGCTTCCACATCAGCATCTCCCCCCTTCTTCCACCGAGCAATTAAGAGAGGTCCTGTACTGTAGCACTCTGCAGGTGTTTGCCTACTGGCTAGAGGGATCTAGGTGGCCACAGGATGTTCACAGCTCCTCTTGTTTCTAGTTGCTAATTAGCTTTTTAAAGCTGCTAAAAATACAGCCCTTGTAATAATTTATAGTGAAACTGCTATTTAAAGTAAGTTGAAAGGTATAGTTGCAAGTAGTTTCTGTCACTGCCACGCTACCACCCCCATTATCACAACTAATCTAGGGAAGACAGGTAGATATAATCAGAGCACAAATGTTTCCCCTGTATGGAAAAGACAGACACATTACACCCCTCAATTAAAGAGGAAATCAATACTGACAAATGTGAGTTTACATCTCAACCATTTATCTCTTAATTTTTAAGGGGGTAGACATGACATCAGTGTGTGGGCCTGAAAGCTCAAAGAAGCACGTTGACTTGACAGAAAGGGAAGCAGCCATGATCAACTAGAACATTAAAATCCAATGTGAGGATGTTCCCTGTAGCTCAGATAGGCTGGGTTAATTGGCAGCTGCTGTGTTGCCTTATTTTTCTGTGCCAGCAGTTGTGTGTGTAAGGTAGAATTTGGTCCTGAGCACAGGCCCAAAGAAGGCTTACACACCACTCAGGCTCCTGAAGGGTTTCCCTCACACCCACTTATGATTTGGAGACTGCTCCTTCCCCAAGCCCCACAGGCCAAGGGCTCACAAGCCTTCAGGTGGAAGGTTGGGAGCAAGAGCTCATGTCCCATGTTGAAGTCTTTTGGCAGTGACTGGATGTGGACCTCAGGGCTCTGCGAGTGAGAAGTGGGAGGCTGTCAATCCAAGGAAAGGACACAAAATCGTTGAGTGAAAGATTGAGGGGAAGTTGATGGGAATAGCACGAGACCTAATGTGACACTCAGCATGTCTTCGGCCAACCACACATTTAGCAGCACTTCAGCTAGCCCAGTTTTAATTGATCAGGGATGACACGTCCTCCTGGTCTGGGGGTCAAGTGCCCTACATCTTGTACATCCTCCTGATAACAAAACTGTACCTGATGCTCACACTGTCGCTTAGCTACCCCATGAGCTTGGGCCCCACAGTAGCATATCCACATCCCATGAAATCTGCAGGAGCCATCTCTGGGTCCTGGGAGTTAATATTCGGCTCATAATGAATTACCCACAGTGGCCTGGACAGAGAAACATTGAAGTATTTTTAAGCACCGCATTTGAGCTAAATGGCACAAGGAAGCGCCTGCATGAAGCAGCATATAATTAACTGCGATTACTGCTCCGGTCATATCATGATCCATTTAAGTTATTTTTCAGAGCGCTCACTATAGCCACTGTTTAATTCTTTTTTTTTTTGGTTAGATCACAGCTACACAGACATCTTTCATCTGCTGCCAGTGAAATTAATATTTTTCTTTATTCCTAGTACAGATAGAATTTTTTTCTTTTCTAAGCTAGTTAATTCTGAGGTAGTTCATGTGACAGGCTGGGTGGCAGAGTCAGTCTTTCCTAGGCATTTCAGAAGAGAAGGGCCTTTGATCTCCTCGTGTTCTGATTTTTGCCATAAGCATTGTCCTCTGTCACTCCGTAGCCTGTGACCCCGGCTCTCGTTACATGGCAGCAGATTCTGTAAGTACAAATTTCTTTTTTTGTGAGCAGAATTTGCAGCCAGGGAATTGGTACCCACAGGTTTTGAACCAAAACAGCAAATAATGATTCACCACAGACTGAATGTTCACAAGCATCTCCACCTGCCTGGGAGCAGAGATAGCTGCTTCTCATGGGCAAGCAGGGGGAGCAAAACCAGAGCTAATACAGAAGATATGTGAATTAGCCAAAAGGGTATACAGCGGGCAATATAAGGGGAAAATGAAAGGTCTGTGCTCCTCTTGATCCCTGAGCTAAGCCAGCTGATTGAAGCCAGTCCCTTCACACCGTGAGTGATTGTCACCATACAACTCTGACTCAGGCTGACTGTGGAAGAGAGAGTGTTGGTGTCTCTGCACCCAGACCTGTTCCCTTTTGAGCCTGGGCAACCCACTAATGGATAACTGAGAGTTGGTTTTAGCTAGAAAACGCAGCTAGTGAGAATTGCCCTGATGCTTCTTGTTTGAGAGTGAGCACAGCCAGGAGCGTGCTCCTGTGTGCATAAGTTGGTAAGAAGGCTCAGAAGTTTAAAATGGATGGGATAAACCTCAACAAATTAGTGTAGTGTAAGGCAAATCTTTTTACTATCTCTATTAAGACTTTTTACCTATTTGTTCCAAGCTCCAATTTTTAATATTTTGATTTTTTTTCAAGAGATGTTTTTGAAGCAGATCCTGGTCATCTTTCTAACCTTAGGAATTGTATGGACTTTCTTAGAGTTAAGTTGGGGGTTGAGCCTGATGGTTGTGGCAGTGCATAGGTGTCACGATCGTGGGTCATTCAACAGGCACTTTAGTTGTTAATTAGGGCAAGCAGAATATGCTTTGCTGCCTGTCAGATATCCTTGAAGTCCTCTCCTAATAGTCTGCAAAATGCTCTTTAATATCCTGCAAGCCTGAAGTTGCATTGTAGGACTAAAGTGCTCCCTCCTGTCTTCTTTCCAAGGAGGCAGCTGTGCAAAGCTGCGAACCGTGACATGTGTACGTGTGTGTGTGTTTGTACAAATGCACACGTTTCTGGCTTGCTGGTGCAGTTAACAAAAACTTTCACTCTGAGTTTGAGGATGACTGCAACCATCTCTTCTTTCTTCAGGAAATTCGCACCAAGATGTTCAGTGTGTAAGGAGCCCATCATGCCGGCCCCAGGACAAGAGGAGACTGTACGCATTGTCGCCTTGGATCGTGACTTCCATGTCCAGTGCTACCGGTGTGAGGTTAGTATTCTAATCACGTGAAGGACAGAAAGCAAAGGTTGGCTTAATTTCATCACCGCCTCATGTTCTACACATGACAGGCATACCCTATTGTAACACTGGCTCTACAATCAAATTACTTCATTGACTTCAGCATGCAAGGAATTTTTCCTCATTTATATCAGCGCAAATGAGAAGAAAATCAGGTCCCTTGTTTATAACAGGTTCATTAGGAGAGCAAGAGAATGTGACTCAGGTAATTAGAGCTTAATATTTGAGAACATCATAAATTATAGCTTGGACACAAACATTGCTCATGTTTATGTTCTTAAAATGAAAGCTAATGCATGTTAGAATTTGAGCAAGATTGTACAGGAAACTCAACATATGGCTCTGGGTTGAAGAATTTTAATGGACACATAAACATGATCATTCTTGTTTTGTGCAATGCTTTTTGTGCTACTTTCCTGTTCAGTTTCATTATGCACTTCATATAATTTTGATGGTAAGAATCTGAAGACAGAGAAGAAAAATCACCTTAAAGCAATTAACATGTGGGAACAGCTGTGTTAGGGAACCTTCAAGAATTCTTCAGTGCAAGTGTTACTTGTTGGATAATACATCAGCCAGATGGCAGGGTAAGAAAATGAGACCAAATGTATTTCTTATCACAGTTGCAGGTTTTAATAACTTTAACCAGAAAGAAGGATGGACTAAGGCTTAAAGGTCTAGGCTGAAACGTGAGGCATCTGGTTCACTTCTCAATCTGACCTTGGCTTCTAGGGTACGGCCTGTAAGCAAGCCGTAATCCCCTCACTGCAGCTCCGTCAGCAGTCTTTGGCCAAGTGATTGTCTGATCACACATTGAGGGATAATTCCCAACTTCTCTAGCAGCTATACTTAGCCGTATGTACTCAGAGGCTGAGGTCTCTGGAACAGGTTTTGGGCCTTTTAGTGGGGTTTCCATGTGCCTGTCTCAGTGACATCCTCCTTTCGGCCACAACCTTTTGGGCCAATTGCAGTACAAACATGGGTGACAGTTCTGGTAAGGGGAGACAGGCAGGGAGTTTGCTTAGCTGTCACCCCTAGAATGGATGCTATAGCTTTGTGGCATTAACTCTTCCAAAGGAGATTACCTGTAGTCAGATATTGGTACCAAACTTCCTTCCCAGTGATGCTTCTTTTCTATCCTTTTCTGCATTAATAAATATGTACTTAAGTTTGATGTTTTCTCCAATGCTAAAGACCTTTCCTTCCTCAGAAATGTGAAGGGAATAATCTCCTTTTATTTTCAATTGGATTAAATTCAGCAGAGAGCTTGGGAACCCATCTACTCTGCAGCATTGTCTCTTATCAGGAAATGGCTTAATCATGAAAGATATCACGTACCTCAGCTTCATGCTTTACGCTGACTCAGGCTGGATCCTGTTACAAGGTGGAGAGTGAGGAGAGAATTTCTTTGACTAATAGATTCTTTGGTTAATCTTGTTCTTCTCTCTTATTTACTTTGCTCTTGCTGTCTGCTTATTTCCTAGGACTGTGGTGGCCTCCTGTCTGAAGGGGACAATCAGGGCTGTTACCCTCTGGATGGGCACATCCTTTGCAAGACCTGCAACTCTGCTCGGATCCAGGCTCTGACTGCCAAGGCCAGCACTGATCTCTGAGTATCAACTGTGACCCTCCCCAGGATGCCCATTGGGGGATATTGCACAAGCTTTGCATGATTTCTTTCCAGCCTAGGGTCTGAATCTCTGTTTTTAAAAAAGAGTAAAACTGGAAGGCCTTGGAACAAGAGGGCAGTTCGAGAGGCCATGTTCAGACTGCCCGTGACAGGCACCTGATTTAGATATGACTTTTCAAGAGGGTGGTGAGTGAGTCAGACCACCTGCTGTCTCTGCAGCTGGTGGAGATAACTGGTCACAGCACCTAAGTTATCTGCCTGTAGAAGGAGGTCTGAACATGGTCCTAACTATATTTCTGTGTTTGATTCCTGTCTCTTAAGAAGTACATGAAGGTAGAAGGTGAAAGATGGCTGAGCTAGTTCTTTCTCCCACATTATTTTGAGAACCTGACCAGCTCTCATTGAAGTTATGGGGAGCTTTCCTTTGACTTTAATAGGATCTGGATCACCAGCAGAAGTAGTTCCACTGCCCTAGAAGGTGTTGAGAGCAGACCCAGCACTCCTCTCATCACAACACAAACAATGCAACTTCAACTGTACTGCACCTAAGAGTGTAGGTGTGACCTTGTATCCTTGGGGGACAGATTTGTTATCTGTATCTTTTTTCTTAGGCCCTTACTTGTCTCCATTGCCTTCCAGTTCAATAGGGTTTTTTCTTTTTCTTATGAAATTATATTTTGCTATTGCATAAATTTATTCAGTAGTGATGCTTCCAATTCACAGTGTATGAGCAATCACAGAAAGATGTGAGCTTGCACACACTATACACTACACACACACTACACACACACACACACACACACACACACTGTGCTTTTTGATTTACCAGAGGTATAAGCCAATCATGTCCATTGAAAAGGTCTTTTAAGGATGTGGGGCTGGAAACACATTTTTAAAATCCCAGTGGTTAAAAAAAAAAAAAAAGACTACATAGAACTGCAGTGCAAAGCAATGCTCAAAAACATCTTATGCCACTCTCTCACACACCCCAATCTAGTGGGACCACTGGCGATGTTGGTTTCTGGGTAGACATTTAAGCAATAGAGTCTTGTTCCATCTCCTGTTTATTGCAATAGGAGGATTTTCCTTCAACTGTAACGGGGATTGAATCAAGCCTTGGGATAAACATTTCTCTGGTGTTAACATGCATGATCTGGAGTTCTCATTAAAAGAATTAAGGATCTTAATTCAACAGCAGCAAAAAGGATCCTCCTAAATACATGCTGTTGTTCAGTTTTTATTTTAAGAAGGCTAAAGAAGGTATTAAACCCTTCTCTATGCCATTCCAAAAAAGTAAGCATTTTTTTTTTCCTTTTTCATTTTCATCCCAGCCACTTATAACTTCTTTTTGGTGAAATGTTGTTGCAGAAGAGTGCTGGGCCAGCAGCAGCATTTTCATCTTCTGTCCAGAATTAATACATATGCCAAGGTAAATAAAAGCTGGGCACAGATAATCCATTTTTTCTCATGTTGGTGGGGTTTTTTAGTTTGGTTAATTAAAAAAAAAAAAAAAAGAAATCCACAGCATTCTGAGCAGCTATAATATTCTTGTTCATGAAACCCATAATAACTAAGGTGCAAATTACATAGTGAGGGAGTAATTTTCATATCACTGAATTGACATTAATATCTTATTTGCAGATGTAATCAAAGAAAATACCTTTCTTTGCACTTAACAAATTAAGAAGCAGAACTGAAACAGTTGCAGGCTGATTGACCGTATAAGTGACAAACTGGCACTTTTCAAGAGTAAGTTATAAGAATTTTTTTCATGCACCCACTGAAAAACAATAAATGTGGTGCTCTCATCTTTATTCTCTATAACAGAAGCCTGATATAATTATACCCACTAATGCTAAAAAGAAAAGTTAGATGAGCTAGATCAATAGGAAACAAAGACGAAAAATTGTGAGATACTCACTGCAGCTCCTGCAAATGGTGCATTTCCTTTCAGTTTAGCACTAACCTTTATGGAAGAGCACAGTGAAATTTAATAGCTTTAGCTGTATACAGTAAATTCAAATACAGAAATACCAGTCTGAAACCCCGGTTCCTTACACAGTTTATATGTTGGCAAACTGCACTGGTGTCAGGGAAGATTCCCAAAATTCACAGCTCAGAATGAATCCCTCTGTGCAGAAGGGTGGCATCATTAAGCAAAAGAAATCGTTCTCCACCATAGTGGCTGTGCTGAAGCAGTTTGCCTTTTTATACTAGATTTCTACCGCGGCCTTCAAGAATTTTACTGCCTCAGACGTAAACAGATTTTTTTTTTGCACCGTGAGTCCTGCCAGGTTCCATCTGGGTTCCTGCTCCCTGAACTGTGGCACGTAAGGTACTTCTGAGCTCGCTTCTTTACGTGCAGTCTGCACCACCACCGATCAAAAAAACCTCACTACTATTGAGCAAATCCAGTTTTAACTAACCCTACAAAAACACGGGAGGTCAGAGCTGGTATTGCTAACACCATTGTATCTTTGTGGAGGATTTTACATCTCTGCAAGCATAAGGAAGGACACGATGCACTCAGATGCAGAATAAGCCATTCATCAGGCAGCAAACGTAGCTCTGATCTTCCTTATTCTTGTTAGTGTTAAATCAAGTGGCTGATGAGACTCTCCTGAGTAACACTGGGGTAATTGATGGAAACAAGCTATTGTGCCTTCCTGCAAAATGTGGCCTAGACTCTGGACCGAAGTCCAGAGCTTTTGGGCTTTTTATGGCCCTGCCATAGGCTGGACTTGGAGCAAGTCATATGGCTTCTTGTCTTCTGCCTTCTGCACGAGAGGGCTTCTTTCCAACTTCCCAGGGATGTTATGGGAATTAAAGTAATCACAGATTGGCCCAAACTACTGATTTTTGGAGTTCTGTCTTCTCTTTCCAGAAAAGTTTGCTGGTATGTAGGTTTGGGATTCCAGCCCGTTTCTAAGCTAAGGGCCAGCCAGGAGATCTAGATCTGAATCCTTTGTGTTATTAGGGTGCTGTGGTGAGTTGGGCTGGTGTGCAGGGAGGTGAGAGCCAAACTTTTCAAGTATTAAGTACTCCATGGATGGAAGATGTTGACAAAGATTGAGCAGTGTTGATATTTGAGGCACTGTGGCTAATTTCTAGACCTGACATATCTGGGCAAAGGTACTATCATGCTTTTGTTTTCACCCCTGAAACACCAAAGCCATCTGCCTGTTGGAAGGAGCAAGCGTCCAAAACACTCTTCTTTATTTTCTCTAATGTGTGTGGTTTTGGCTTCTAAAATTGCTATAAATATATTCGGAAGATATTGCATAGATGTATATACATCACAGAGGCTCCCATCAACCGCACGTGTATGGAAATCTCCCTTCTGATGCTTCAGGATTTAATTAGGAAATGCTGGTGGACTTATCTCAATTGCACTGCAATTAAGAACCACTGGGATATTGCTTCATCACAATATTTATCACATATTTATAATATATCCTGTTCTATCTGTTCCAAAGAAGGAGTCTTCTTGCCAAAGAGACCTAGCTTTTCTTAAGGTGCACTTCTTAGCCATGATAAAAATTCACGTCATCTGTGGCTGTGGTAATGTCAAAACTGTTCCTTTCAGAAAGAATTGGGAATATCACACAGACATTTCTGTTCAAGTCTGCAGCGTTTTTGCTTATGCTGCTTTGGCTTTGTGTAGTGTTTATTGGCAAGTAGGGCCTGATCCCATGATTTGTATGGCCAGATGGGGCCCAGGAGGGTCCAGGATCAGGTTCTAATTTAGCAAAATATTTAAGCCCATGGGGTTTGTTTAAGGACAGGCTTTAAAGCCATTGCGTGGTGTGACATAAGCCATGGGTCTACAGTCATTAATACCAGACTGATTCTGTATGACCCAGTCATACAGATCTTGGTAGGATGTGGGCACGGTCAAATTTCTGTCAAATTACCCAGAACACATGAAATGGCTCCTGTGTCGCCCTTACGCCAACTGCAGGAGGGCAGCCGGTGGCTGATCCAACATAACATTTGGACAACAGGAGGATGAGTTATTACAAGATCAGTGCTTTGTGTCAGGTGGCTGTGGCACTTTCCATATGTCACAAGTAGCCCTACAGCCAGATTTACTGTATCTTTGAACCACGGCTTTAAAACTGTCTACTTAAACTTTCTCCAGAAGATTGGGTTGCCTTGGTTACAGCCCAGTCCTTAAGCATATCCCCAAGGCTAACACTACTATTTTGTGAATGTGATGATTTTATTGTCATTTCTTTTAATCATCGCCTGTATGTTGCTTTTAGAAACAGAAAGCAACACCATTGCCCTAGCCTATCAGATAATGCACCTTTGTTTTTGTTTTTTTAATATTTTAATTCTTAGATTTTTATCATGGCTGTGACACACTTGGGTAATGACTTAATCATAGAGGTGTAGGAGTACCAAAGTGTTTATCAGAATGAACTTTACATAATAGGGTTCATCCTGATGGCAGGAGCGAGACTTTAATGAGACACAGGCCTTAAGTTGACTTTCTGCCTATCAGCAAAATGTGCCTGAGAAGAATGAGGAAAAAAGTGTCTTTTAAAGAAATAGTGGTGGTTGAAGAGAACATGCAACAAGTCACACTGAAATCTCTTTGGACCTGTTACGGCTGCTGTCTGGCCATGGTCAGCCAAGCCTAGCTTAGGTTTGATAAATGCTGGTTCCTTTTGATTTTGAGAAAGTCCAGCAGACAAGGGATAACAGGACCCAAGAGAAGGGCCTTGGGGGAAATCCTGTGTCTTCACCCTCCTTCGGCATCAGGGAGAAATGTTAGACACCTGATGCTTCAGCTGAATGGCTCAGAAAGGATTTGAGATTGCAACTGTTTTCTGTTGACATCTAGTTCCTGCAGTTGGTTCATCATGTTGATTTACTATTTGTTCACTGAGCTGGGTTGACTACACCTTATATAGACTTCGATACTTTAAGTCAGGGCTAGCAGAGAGAGACGTGCTGAAGAATCTCACTGTAGTGAAATTCCCACGAGAAAACACTAGTGGTGGTAATTGAGGGTTTGTTGCCAACTGATAGCAGGAACTACTTAGTACTATCTAGAGGTTAGTAAAGTATAAACTGGTAGAGCTGTGAGAACACTATTTCCAGTTAGAGCTGGTCACAATTTTCACACTAAATTACGTGATGTCAGAAGGGCCATTTTTTTAATGAGAAATTCTCACTTTTTGCAATGTTCGCCACAACAGTTTCTTTTCTTGCTATTATAATTAAAACCATATTGAATTTTTATCTAAATAAATTTCAGGATTGTTAACAAATATTTTCATTTTTCAAAAACCCATGTTGTCTTTCTCAGTTTTTTGTAGTTCTTGGGTTTCTTCTGCTGGTAAATTAAAGTTTCTTTGGCGATTTTGAAAAGTTCCTTGGATAAAAATTCAATTTAAAAACAAACACATGTGTTCTTGGGAAATGGTTCAATATTGGACCTGGTGAAATAAAAAAAGCTTTGGAACTTTTCACAAAATATTTTTTCCCTACTTTTAACTAGTTTTGGTAACTTTGAAGTCACTGTTTCCAGATAATCCAGATAATGTGACTCTTCTTAAAACAACAGTGTTACTTCTGTTGGGTTCATTTTTCTTTCCTATCTTAAAGCCTGGCTGTGGAGAATGCCAGGGTCTTCTACTGTGGCAATTGCAATTTTCTTCTTTCCCACCCACACCCCGAAATTACTGAAGAATGTAAGCACATTATGGCAACTGCCGTGAAGATCAAGAGATACTGACCGAACTTCACCTCCACGTAACCCTTCTGGCCTTGGGAATGGCATTTCTCCTTAAACATTTCTAGAAATAGTACCTGGCTTCCTCAGCATTTCAAGTTTGAATTTGCAACAGTCAATTGCCCGACTGGCATTTGGAGCATGAGTGAGAGTCGACTTTAAACTGTTGAAATTATAACATTCACCCAGCACCTAAAAATCTAAGGAAAAAACCTTAACCTCAGCAGGTTTCCTTGTGGACGTTGGGGAACAGCTCTCATTTCAGCTTGGTAATTCTCTGCTGTGATCTGAAAAAAAACAACTCAAACACTTGCAGACCTTTCTGGCATATGTACTCACCCGCACACGTAAGGTGGTTGTGGGGCTACAACTAAGTAGAAATACAGGTTGCAATATTGAGCATTGCTACTTAAACCCCACTGGGCTTTATTCCTGGTTATGTGTTCCCGGTCTGTTGGGCTTCACGTTACATGTGGAAGCAATGGGGTTGATCACTGGTATCAAGAGCACTCAGTTCAAACTTTTTTAATTTTGGTGTTTGTCCACATTTCTCATCGTACCTAGACCTTTTAGAAAATGAAGAAGGAAACGGAAGCCCCAGGTGGCAGCATTACCTTTACATTTCCAGGGGTTAGGGTCCCTTGCTGGGAACATGACACTTGGGGTGTCTCTATTTTTTGCCTCTGCCTCCCTTTGTCCGCAAGCAGCTCTCTTACCTGCTTTTTCCATTTGCTCAACGTGCGCTCATCTTTGTAGTAACGATGGTATGTTACTTACTTCACAGAGGTATTGTCAGTCTTAGCTAGTAGTTGGAAAAACTTCCAGATCTTTAATCAAGTAGTTTTGTGCATGCATAGTATCAGTGGCCTGCCACATGGATATCAAAGGAAATGATTATAATTATTGCTTTTAAAATGATTATGAAATTGTGCCTTACTTTTTCAGTCATATTTAACCATGTAATTTAGAACCACATGATTGCAGGGATTTATCATGAAGAAATTTGTTTGAAGGATAGTTTGTTTGTTTTTAAATATTTTTTCTTCAAAAATGAATTTATTAGTTTTTCCTTTTTTATTTTTTCCTTCAGTTTTATTCCTTTAATATGTTTGTGTAAAAGGGCAGCCAGAATTTGCATTCCTAAGAGACAGAAGATTTTATTTGGTCTTGTATGTAGAGCTTTCATTTTCTTTTATGTTCCTTCAGGAAAATTCTTCTCTGCCCGATTACTCATACTTAGATGTCTTTAAATGCAGGCTGACCAGTAAGGGGTTTTTGTTGTTGTTTAATTTAGTGTGTGGTTTGCTTTGTGTTTTGTTTTGGGGTTTTTTTTGTAATTAACCAGATATGGGGTACTGGGGAGGCATTGCACATTAATGCAGAATGTTAATGCTAATTTTCATAGAAAAGACAAAATTAGTCTTTCCCTGTCCCCAGTGCAGTTTTGTTACTGTTTTGTGTACAACACTAATATTAAGCCAGACCGTAAAGGCAAAATACTCAGAGTGACCTACTTCCATTCACCAGCAAGAACCCTTTGTCAGCTGACTCCTGTTTGTTTGTTCATTTTTAAATGTCGGATTACAGAACGAGCATCTCCTAAAGATGAAAGAAAACAGTGTTTTCATGTGCAGGAAATTTGGGGTTGCAGTAACAGAACATTTTCTTTGTGAATTTGGATGTCATGGTGTTTTAAGCTCTTGCCTGGAGCCTAAATCAATTTGGCCTCTCATCCAGTTCATCTCGCTGGTGCTCCTAAAAGGCTGCAGCCCTGCAAAAGCTCATGCAGCATTTTTGGCTGCCTTCCCTTGCTCCCATTTGGTACATATTTGCACAATTTAACTGAGCTTTTCTTTCTGCTGAAGGTCAGATGCAAGCGATACGAAACACTAAACTTTATAAACAAGCAAAGCCATTTCAACCACAGCATTTTGGACTAGAATGGATTTTTAGGTGGCGCACTGTCTGCTGGCCTTTGGAGAGGGGATCCTGAGACTACATTGGGCTGGAACAGGATGCAAAGCCACAAGGCTTGGTTTTTTTAATGAACTACTTACTGTAATCCAGCTACAGTTTCAGCCTCACACTTCAGAAGAAGCTTCCAGCAGCAATGCACGTACAGGCACTTTTTCTCTTGCAGAAAGTGAAACTTTCTCAACCAGAGTAAATTTAACCTATTGCATAAGATGCTGGAAGATTTTTCTTTTTTTTTTCCTTGGGATTCTCGCTCTAACCTCTATGTGCAGAGGATGAATAGTTTTTCTTTTTCCCTTCTTTTTTTTTTTTTTTACAAGATTAGATGTTGCATATTGATGAGCTAGCATTTCAAAGGTCCGTGGGGCTTTGGAACATATTAAGAATCTCTGAAGTTTAATATTCACCATGTTTTAAATATTCAGAAGGAAAAGTCTGCATAAAATGGCTTTTGATAAATACGTTCTAGGGATTCTTTCTTTCTATCTTACGCAAGCGTTGTGGGGATTGTGGCTGTGCCAGTTTTGTTCCAAAGTGTCTTTTGTTTCAGCATTTCAGGACCATTTTGATCCCATTTGTATGCCCAGTGCTTGTCCTGAAGTCTTTTATGGTTTCTACTGGAACTGTACAGCAGGCAGGTGGATGTGACCAAGGCAAAAGCACAGCTGAGCATCGTGACTCCTGAGTGTCTGCTTGATTGCTCCCCTCCTTATGACAGCTGGGCATGTCCAGCCTCTCTGTGCCTGCTTTTTGTGATGCAGGTTGGGGTTAGCTCAGTGGTCAGGCCTGGCTGAGATCTTTCTGCAAAGGTGCTCCACACCAGTGGGCATTTGAGAATGGAGAGGGCAAGATCCTGGGTGCAGGAGCAAAGCAAAGTGCCATTCAGTGCATCTCAGATCTCAGAGGGCAGTTTCCCCTTCCTTAGATGTCCCTCTTTGTTAAGAGTCTCAGCAGTAAGAGAAGTGCTTTTAGGAGAAATCCCCCTTGGGGATGCCCTATTTCCCATGCTGTTGAAAATCCGATTGAAGCTTTAGATGAGGAGGATCAGTTACGGGCTGCAAACACGCAGCTATTTTACTGTATGATTAACTCTCTCGTTTGCCTTGCCCTTGATGTCCCATGGTACATACCATGGTGCGCGGGACAGCTTCTTTGGTCCTGCTCACACACAGCCTTGACTTTGTCGTGCCAGTCCCTGTTGAATCAGCGCCTGGTTCTTGTTCTCAGGACTGCTCTGGCTTGGGCCAAGGGCGTCTTATGCTCCTGTGCAAAAGGTGGTGCTTTCAGGTTTTGGTTTACAAATACTGCAGCCCTTTCAAACTCACCTTTCCTCTCTCATGTATTCCTGACAGAAGTAGGATTTTAAATATTTCATAGCATTCTTCTTTCTTCTTCCTTTTTGCCAGATGCCTTGAAAACATTGTCAGATTACGATCTGGTTGGGGGTTTTCAGGATCAATTTCCTTTCCTTCTTGATTGCATGGTGTAGGTTTGCAATGAGGGGTTTTTCCTTTTTTTTCCCCTTCCCTTTTTTTTTCTTTTTTTCCCCTCTTTTTTTAGTCTTACAGAACAGATGCCTTCAGTTTATGCAGAGAAAGATTGACTATGATTAGAGCTAATCCAGGATGGCAGGATTGGACCCCCACAGTGAAAGCTAGAAAAGTGATTGCAAAAGTATTCTGTTTCTCCTTTATTAATTACACAGGAAGTTTCCATCAAAGGCTCATGTAGCACAACTGGCCTATGTAATAAGTAGCAGGGCCTGTAATTACAGTCTTGTCTTCTGCTCCTATCTGTGCCCTGACTTTCTAGGCACCGCAGTTCTATTTACATCTGTGTCTTTTAAATTTTTGATTGGTCACTAAGGAAAGAAAAGCACAAGCCGTGAGCCCTGTGGAGGTGCAGTAAGTCTAAATGAGGGAGTCCTCCTCCTTCTCAGGCTATCTGCCTGATTTGGAACACAGAACAGAGCATGGGGAACAGAGGGGATTTTACCAGCCGTGCAGCGGAGTGGGCTGCATGCCAACTGAGTATCTTTCAAGATCTTGGAGTCTTTGTAGGACTGGAAATTGAACCTTTTATAGGTCTTAACTAGTGTACTATCGTGTGAGGGAGTTTATATATCAGCATTTCTTTGCTCCGAGCAGTTTCTACAGGATTTGACCTTTCCTTTCTGTAAGATTCAGGGGTTTATGGTTGCAAAGAGATCCTTCCACTTGTGGCATGAGGAGGGAGATGGCTTTTGGCATCACGCAGAGAAGCTGGGCTACAAATCCTGGTATCGATGTAAAGCAAGAGTAACTTGAGTGGAAGGGGGAAGGCAGTGATTTACGCCTGGTTCAGTACCAGGTTCACCAGCTCTGAGCAGCAGCGAGCGCAGCTGCAGGCAGATCAGCTCAGTAGGGTGTCAGTCTAGAGACCTGCAATGAGTAAATGGGCTCCTTGTGAAAGTGTTTGGTGCTGGTCACTCTGGCAGTAATCTCTCATCTCTTTGGAAACGTGCACTAAAGTTAGGGTAAAACTACAGAATGGTGCCCCCCAGTCTTTTTCTTCAAGGCATACTCCAAGTGCTATGTTTGATCAAGAGGAACGGAAGCCATTGTGCAAATACTATACTCTATGCAAAAAATATTAACAATCCACTATGGATACTTTTAATGTCCATTAAACTGTTATGCAAATTGTCCTTTTTCTGCAGCTTGCACTGTAGTTATTTTTGGTCTGACTTCTATTTAAAAAAAACCCTCAATTATTTTTTAATTTTTTTTTAACTCTACTTCTAAGAAAGTTGATGCTGTAAAGGAAAAAAACCCTTACTTTCAAACATGGGTTTTTCAGGCTTCGAAATTAATAATTTCTACACCTGACCCAGTTCCTGCAGCTGCCAAAAATGAAAAGAGAAAGCTATTTAAATTTCTCATAGAACCATTTATCTCTTAAAATATGCCAAGGCAATTTGAGGTGGGGGTGGAGACTCAGCTATTTATCTCAGCAGCTTGATTTTTGTCTTTATGTTTCTAACTGTCAGGGGGAAAAAAAACGGTAGGAAGCTATTCTTGGGCTATTATTGATGTATTGTGTTGTCATTATGCAGGATGTCTGCTTTGCTATATACGGAAGGACATTAATAATAGCCATCTCCCCTCCCCCCACCCTCAGTTCCTCTTTGGGAAGATATAGTTTAAACTGGAGCATCTGCCGTGTTCAAATTGCTGCTCCCTCCTCCCCTTCCCCCAATTCATTCCCAAACTAGTTTTGGGAACAGGGCTAAGGGAATAAGGAGACAGGTTATATTTGCCATTTTTCTGCCTACTTGTGTGGTTGCTCCAGGCAAGTCATTTCCATGCCATGTACCTGTCTACCCTCTTCCTTCCTGTGTATTGCCCCTCCTTTCATTTTAAGTTCATCAGTGCAAAAAACCCCTTTCTCGCTGTCTTTTTCTCACAGGGGCTGGCTGGCAGAACGGGCTCAGCAACAGACCTCTGATTTGTTATTACCCAGCATTTCATATCCAGCAACGTTGGTTTCTTCATTATTTCCCATAAGTAGGAAAATGTATTCCTGTTCCCTTCCCTCCTACCCCAGGTTTAAAACATTGTTATGAAACTTTAAAGGGCCCATCTGCTTGTTTAAAGACTCAGATGCTTGTTTTATTTTTGGAAGCAGAGTGTATGGTGAACAGTAATAGTCTGATGTTTAAAAAATAGCCCCACTTCAGCATTCCCCTGAAGTGCGGGAAGTCCTGTCTCCACAGGTCTGTGCCAGCAGCATGATAGCCCAGAGAGCAAAGCCAACTTGAATAGGAAAAAGAACTGGCCTGCCCCATTTCATCTGTAAGAATTCTGAGAGGTGAAAATAAGAAACGTGGCAAAAACTAAAGGGCTTAATTGCTCTGATTATTTTTTTTAATGGCTGTTCCTACTTCTCATGCTAATTTTGTTCCATAGAAGCTTTGCTTATTCAGCATTTCTGATAGTCAGGACCATATGCTTTTCATGGTGTCATTACTTCTACTCGTCGTTTGTTATATCCTAGTCTTGCTCTGGTCCCTATATGGTATGGAGCCATTTTGATTTGGGCACTGAATTAAAACAAAGTTAGGAGCTCTGTCTAGGAAAGCTCACCTGGAGTTTAGCACCAGAAAATGCAATCAGAGTATTTTCCAGTTCTGATATAGGGAGGTTTTCCAAATAGGAATTCTAGATGGGAGGAATGCCTTCATTTGGGAAAGTGCTCAGATTTCAAAATGAAAGGGATATGGCCATTCAGTGTAGTTTCTTGTTGCTTTTATTGTCTTCCTTGGTGGTGGCCAAGGAGAAAAACGCCACCTTCTGAAGTGTTCCCTAAACTAGAGCCAGAGCCCAGCACCTCCTCTGCAAACATTTGCTCCAGCTTGCCACACTGCTGCAGCATGAGAGCAAGGAACGCCTGCTAACGAAGCAAGGTCCACCTCATCCTCTCCATAGTCAGAGCTGCTCCCCATGGTGAGTCTGTGTCCATCTTAGGGCTTGATCCTGCCTTCCTAGTGGAAGTATTTTGCCAGAAACAGGTATTTTCTCTCTGCCATTAGCTATGGGACTGTGTGCAATGATTAGGATTTGAGGGAGGGAGGAGAAGATCCTGTTCCAATTAGGCTGCCTTTGTGCTAATGTTTCATTCAGGGCTATATGAGGTAAGAGCAGTTTGCACTGAAATACACAGCTGGAGGTTGTGGTTTGCGTTTCAACTATGTTGAGATGGTACCCATTGAAAATACAGAACTGGGGCACTTTTTTACATCTGCCAGTGCTTTACTGACAGCTCTGTATGGGTTGGAAACCCATTTCGGTTTGGCAAATAGACATTTTCTGCCTTGTCCCCTGAGCCTGATCTAGTTCTTTGCTTTATCCACCTAAAAAGTAGTATTTCTAATGTGCCTAATGCCTAAGTAGCTGAGCGCCTGACAAGCATCTAAGCAGAACAACCAGCAAGGTGAAGAGTAGGCTATTAATTGAGCTGCCTTTACAAAAAGTGTATTCCACTTTCTTCACTATGTGCCTTTTCGGACACCTGTGGTGCTCCTTTATGGGCAGCAAAGTAATAGCCCTAGTGCCGAGCAGAGATACGAACTATGAGAATGATGTACAACAGAAGCAAGAGGTTAATTTTGAGCATCTGTTCTCTGTTGGGATAAGCAAAGCAATGCCTTTATGCCATCAGTACTGCTTGTCTTGCTTAGCACACCTCATTGTCTGGTAGGCAACTGTTAGTAGCAGAGGTACTTGGGTATATCTCTTCAAACTTCTCTGTTTTATCAGAACTCCAGAGTCATTCATATCTGGAGATTTTATTTGCTTAATATTGTCTCTTGTAAGATCTCCATTATCCATTTTTTATATGTTAGAAGAGAAAATTTGAAGGTGAACCAAAAGCTGGGTGTTTGATTGGTGCTACTGTATTAAAAAGGCTGATGTGCTCTCACTTTTAATCCCCAAAATCATGTTTTAGGAAACTTTTCCCTGCTGTGGTCAGAGAGGAAATGCAAGGTTTGTTGGAAATGCAGCAAAGGGAAAGGTATGATGTTTTGATGCTCAGTACTGCACCACTGTGACCTCCTCTGCTGTCCCTCTGGAGAGTGAGGACTGAGTATTGGTAGAGGTATGGGCAGAGCAAAGGTTACGCTTGGACTTTCTCCTGATCTTGCTAGATAGGATCTGCCTTGGTGAGACTTCAACATCCTTAAGGGTCCTATAATTTCCCATGCCATGGCTTGTGTTTTGGACCTCCAGTGCCTTCTCTCCAGTTAGTCGAATGAGAGACCAGGAGTACTAATTCTGCAGTTTTGGTAATGGCACTTTCCAGCTCAGAACAAACAGCAGAGGTTTGTTGTGTTTCAGAGCCTAATCTCTCACACTGGCGTTACCTGTGAGGTCTGAACCACACATGGGTCATTCCAGAAGGATTCCTCTTGGCTAAATGCCCCTTGGCGAACCCCCCGAGGACCGGGAGATTGGCTTAGGTCTTCCAAACTACAAGGAGGGAGTGCCCCCAGGAATGTATTTGTCCTATGTAGCTGCTATGCTTTGGCCTATCCTTGCCAACTGTAGACCTGCCTGCTCTAGGGTTCACCGGTGATGATGTTTATTGGATGTGCAGTAATTCATAGTGGATGACTAGGCCAGGTTTGAGGTGGTATTTCAGCTTTATGGTAGCTGTTGGTTTAGCCCTTGAGACAGAGAAGGTTTTGCATTGTTGCCTTTGTTGCAGTTGGAAGGGGAGCGTGACTGACCACCCTTCCTGTCCTGCGCCAGCAGAGGCTCTCAGTGGTATGGGAAGCATCTTCCTTTTAAATGTGAATCACTAGCCTAGGTATCTGGGCGGGAAAGGGGCACAAGGAGGCATTCCCTGTGTGAGGGATGCCTTCTGCTGCACACTCCATGCCCTCAGATCCTAATGAAGTAACGTTACTTGAGCTTTTAGGACTGGCCTCCTATCTGTCAGAGCTTGGGGGTACCAGAGTTTTACCCCTTGCTGAGCACAAGCACTACCCAAGTCTGTGAGGGGCCCAATCCTGCTGCCATTGGAGTTTTCCCAAATCCTGCGAGTTGCTGAGTGCACCTCCTGTGAGCTGCTGCGTAGCCTCCTTTCTCACTGAACCCATCAGGCCACTTGTCTCCTTCATTGACTACTTCCACAGGGCTTTGAGGGCACTCAGGAAATGCAATCAGCACCTTACAGGATTGGCCCGCTAGGTAATGTATGAAGTTTTTTCTCTGGTAACTTGTGTGCATGAACTGAAAACCATTTATTCCAGTTTGTTCTGAGGACAGATGCAGCATATACACGTTTTCTATATTTATAAATATATATAGAGATATATATTTTGTTCTCAGCTAGTTACCTCTTCTAAACTGCAATTTTCAGAGCAACCGGCATATATTTTTTATTCAACACGTAAAATGACTTTTTACAGTAAGAGAATGAAAGCTGTTTTAAGCATGTTTTCTGTATTTTTATTATGCATTATCCAATCATATTGAGATGTATTTTCCTCTTTGCTCTGCTCTTTCAGTTGTTATCCTTTTTATCAGTTATGCTTTTCTAATGTTTTGTAAGGGAAAATAAATATGCAAAATCACCAGATGCCTTTTTTTCTTTGCAGAAGAAGTATCACAAATGCTTTTTTATTACATTTTACCAATCCAATAAACTCCTTATAAATTTCATTTTTGTTTCCTAGTGTGTGAAATTATTTTTTCAAGTTGAATGGTATTTACTTGCTCCCAACCTCCACCTGCAATTATGCTTCATATCCTCCATCTCTCTCTCTCTCTCTCTCTCTTTTGGGTTCAAAATTTCACTGTGTGGCTCCTCAACATACTTAATTCAAGACCCTCTTTCACTGTTGGGTGAAGCAAGGATGCTAGAAATATGTCACAAGAGAGGCTACCCCCTGCTTGTACTGGCCCTCTCTTGATGAATTTTGCGCTGTTCTTAAAAATGTGCACCTTTGCAGTAGAGAGCACTCCCTTCTTAAACCATGAGGTAATCTGCAGAGGTGGGTTATATGCGGAGGTTGCCCACGAATATTCTCAAATTTGAGTTGTGATCGGGTAACAGCAGAGCCAAGCACCTTGCTTTGCAGCTGCATGGAGGAACATTATTGAAAGTTTTATGGGGAGAGTAGAAAGAAGTTTGGTTTGCAAAGCCTGCCTCTTCTAGGAGGTTGTTTCTAGGCTGTCATTGCGGTAAATAATCTGGATTGTTCCCGGTC